CAAAAGAAAGAAGTCGTGCTCATCTCATCTTCAGAGATTTTTGTTTTGTTTCCTTCAGTGGTTCTTGGTGTACTGCCACCACAGGTGAGGGGGTGAGCAGTGTGGCATGAAGGCGAACCTCACCAGCTGGAAATGTAGCAAATGTTGCAATTTTGGTCAGCAATTGAACCAAGTCTGGACAATCGGGTGTGAAAACACCTTAGAGACACAAAAATGCAGACGCACCAATCAATCAGGTAGAGATTGGAATCATCCACTTTTATTTTGACTGACTGCCGTCGTTGACGAGCAGGTTGCATGCTGAAAATGTGAATTCTATGTTCTCATTATTAACCAAGAATGCCCACATTGTTGGTCAATAGTATGTGTCTTGGTGCAACGTTTTAAAGTTAAATGAAATTCAGAAAATGGTGGGAAACTTATGCTTGGTAATAACCTTGTAATACGTTTTTTTTTGTCAAATGTAAAAGTACCCCCAGTGCCTTTTTTCTCATTTAAGTGTTGTAGTCCTCATGACAAAAAAAACAAAAAAACAAACAGAATCAGCAGGTCAGACTTGAAGCAAAAACAGAAATCGGTTTTAGCTAGAAACAGCCTGATTGATCCATCTTTAAAATCTAACAAGGTGAATGTAAATATTAAATCCACCATGTTATTCTGTTAACTGACTATCTTAAAAAAAAAAATCCTAACTTTTATGAAACATTTGTTTAATGTTAATGCTTCCCTGCACTGCTGATGTCCATCTGCCCATTCATATGGTAAAATTATTTTGTGAGCAGGTGTGTGTGTGTGTGTGGTGTGTGTGTGTGTGTGTGTGTGTGTGTGCTGATATCCAACCTGGATCCCTGGACGCACACATGCACCGGCCTCTCTCCTCCAATTCACCTCTATTACTAGCTATAATCCCATTTCACACTCTATCGATCCCCAAAACTGTTGTTCACCGGAACCAAGAGCAAACACTGGCATTTCTCCCCATCATTTCACAACTATTGTTCTTTATTACACAAAGAAGCCCACACCCCCGCCCCCCCTCGAACCCCAACCCACCCCTTGTCTTGGAGCAAACTCAGCCCTGCTGAAATATGAATTATAAATGTATGGCTAATAAAAGAAAAGGGGGGGAAAGAGAGTGAAAAAGGGAGAGTTGGAGATAGAGAGAAGTGGTTGGTGGAAACATCAGAGAAAATGACTCCTTTACAAGAGTCTATTGATCAGTTTCTATCAAAGGAGGATGTCAGACATGAGATTACCTGGCAGTTTGAGCATTAGGTGCCGTGTGTTATAGCCCCAGGCCCTTGTACCGCTGCCAGAGGATTGTAAATAAAGCGAAGAGGAGAGAGCAAGAGGGGAGTGTGTTGGGGTGTAAGTGTGTGTGAGTTTAAGAGTCTCTGTGTGTGTTTGTGTTAGTCTTTGTGAGTCACTGTTGTGTGCATATTAGTGTTTTTTTTTTGTTGTTTTTTTTTATTATCTTGTGCTGTATTTGTGTGCATGACGGTGTGCGGCTGTGTACCTGCACCTTTTGGCTTATACCCAAAAGCAGTGTTGCAAGCCTATGAAACTTCAGAAAGAGAGAGTAAGAGTCATGGGAGGCTTTGGGACGTCTCTGGGGAGCACCTTAGCCAGCTACGAATCCCCCAACAAAGCCAAAGGAAGCTCCCATGAAGCCTTATGAAGCTTTTATGAGGGCCTGGCAGGGCCCAGCCCAGCCCCAACCACTGATTCAGGGTTAGCAAGGTTTTCATCCTTCTCATGTTAAAGGTTAGCTGTGAGAGCAGGGTAATCTGACCGCAGATCTGTGATTATAGCCTGATACTGTATGATGGGCTTTGAAGTGCCTACGAAGGCACTGAGAGTGAGAGATCTAGAGAGTTAGATCACGGACTAATATCATGCCGTACGTTGTGAAGCCAGAATTAAAGGGTCAAAAAAAGTGTTAGACTGGGAGACTGAAGATCTTAGATTGTGGACTACTGTCATAACTCATGAAGCCTGTTGGGGGTGGGGGGGAACGCTGTAAAATAGATCAGATTGCCTGGACCGTTGCTCTTCTTAAGATGTTAAGAAGTGTCAAAACACACAATCTTCTGCACATCCAGGTGTTACGTGGAGAAACGTGTCAGTATTTGGTCATCTGTTTGGGTGAAACTAAATGCATTTCTCATTTAGGCAGAGTTCAGATATGGGATTCTCATCCTATTATAACCTCTAGTTAAAACTCCCAATTACAGACTAACATTTTTTTTTTTTTTTTTACATTAAAAGTCTTGTTTATATAAAACCAAATGATTACAAATATTCCCACAGCACCTAATCAAACTATATCTGTAGGATTAAAATCTTATTAATATTACCTTCATAATGTATTTTATTATTTTTCTTTTGATACATACATTTAAGTCTAAACCTGCTATATTTAGCCATAGTTTGATGTGCTTATTGCCCAAAGAATTGTCCTTTTTTTCGCATTCTGCTGTATGTAATGTAATGGTGAGAGTATATCCGTTGGTCAGTCCGTCCTATCAGGTGTCCGGCCTCCAGTCGTCTGCTTGACAGAGATGCCACTTGTAGCTTGACAACTGTACTTTTAAAACACCTTTATAAAAGTCTAATATGATAATCTATCACCGCTTTTATTATGTCTTTCCTATTTTAAAGATTGTTCATTATGTGTAAACAAACATAATATTTAGTAGTAGTACTAGTAGCAGTAGTATAGTATAGTAAAAGAGTGTAGCACTCTTTTTTTTTTTTTTTTTTACCTTCCAGACCATCGTTGTTGACGTTTATATTGAGTGGAAATATTTCAAAACAGCAGAGTTTATTTATATATGATTTTTTATTGGGGCAAAGTGTCAAAATATATATGTATTTTTTTCAATCAGCTGACTGGCAGTGTAAAGCAATTACTTCATCTACATAAGGGAACTCAAATCACTCTGGGACTTTTTATATAGCATGTTTTATTAAAAGAAAAAAAAAGAAAAAAAAAAGACTGGAACACTGCATGGTAGAACATTTTTGAAGTTTTAAAATTTGGGTACAAAATACCTCATAACTATAGTTTAAGGAGTGTTACTTTATTAGGAAGGAAGGATGGCACTTCATGACTCATTACCAGGCAGCCAAATTTGTGTTTCTCACAGACAGGAAAAAGCTGTGGTCTCTGTCTTTTAGCCAGATGTCCTGCAAACATGAGGGAGGGTCAACAATGCATTATTGTCTGCGCCATATAGCTGAATAAAACTTTAGTCCCTAGAGCACATTCTTAGCACCTCATTAAAAGGGCTTCAAATTGTGTGGCAGAATTGTTTGCTATTTTGAAACTCTACAATTTAAAAACTTGTATGTAAGTAAGCCCTTGGTGTCAGCTTTAAATTTATTTTTGTGTCTTTTTTTTTTTTTTCTTAAAAAGTTTAAGAGGAAAAGTTCTATCTACTAATCTTTTCTAGTGTTGGCACTTTTTATTTATTTATTTATTTATTTTTGCAAATGCTTGTTTGTTTGCAAATGTTTGAGTTTGGGTAAACGATCATTGTGAGCAGCTAATTGCTCTCTCTGTGGCTTCCCCTTTTGGGAGGTGTCACCGAGGTCACCTCAAGACTAATGCCTTGAATATGAATTTGATCCCCATCTCAAGTTTTCACATCTCTGCTTTATTGATTATTGAGATTCGCTGCAAACTTTCACCTTGAGGTTCAATAAAATAGCCAAGGTAGGGCACATACACACACATAGACACAGAAGTAAAACTGTTTGTGCATCATAAAATATTTAGCAGCTCCAGCTGCAGCTTCAATTTTCCTAGGGCTTTAGTTTAAACTGTTTGGATGCTACCAAACCATAAATTATTGTTGCTTCTATTAAATGTAGATTTCTTTTCCTATATTGTGGTGTTTATTTCATTGTTTTACTCTCCTCTGGTTCAGGGTGTCTCGCCTCTATTATCACATCAGGGTGTGCGGGCCTAAAAGCGTTACAAAAATTCACTTTGCATTTTCTCTGTTTCTGTCTTGCCCAGTCAGACACTCATGCACACGCACACAAAAAGTCAAGGTCTGTCCAGTAAATATTCAGTGCGCACACACACACACACATAGGTATGAACACATATTCCCCCCCAACCCACCTCTTCATATTCAGTGAACATACCCTCTCAATATTCATCAGCTTTGGCCACCGATGGCTGACAGTTTATGTTATATTCAATGAATACTGAATTTAGAGAAAAGATTTAAGGAACTGTGAAGAAACACTGACTCACAAAACACCAAAGAGAACAAAAAGGAAAAGGGAAAACAGGAAAAAAAAAAAAAAAAGAGGAGGAACGTAGCGTAGGCAAAATTTGAAATTCAAACTGAAAAAGGCCTGCAAAGCAAATCTAGCTAACAAACCTGACGAGTGGTTTATTATGTACCCACTCGATGTGCTAAACTCCAAAGTGTAGAACAATAGGGTTTTATTGCATGTAGATGCAGGACACGGTGAAAAAGGCAGCGTGAAGGGCTGTAGTGTAGAGAATCGGCACAAGTGGCCTGCTCAAGGTAAAGACTGCCATCTATTGACCAACTCCGGGAGCACTTCTTTTGTCTCTCAACAAAAGGGCAGCCAGCTCATCCAAGTTTAAGCGGTGGAGGGCTTTTATTCCATCTTTCCTTCTACATTACTGAAACGCATTCAGCACTTCTCCGGATGAGATCTTCAGCTGTTTGAAACCTGACTCACATTTCATGTATCCCCACAAAAAAAAAAAAAAAAAAAATTGGCTTTACAAATTCTGTAAAATCGTTATTTCTCGATCTGCTCTGAGATGCGACGCGCTGCAATGTTAGATGTGTGTCGCTACGCATAAATTAAAAGATGATATAAAAGTTATATCACAGTGTAAGCAATGTTATTGTATTTATCCAATTTGCGAATGAGTTTTAACAAACAACGCCTGTGAACTCTTCCACTTTTCCTCCCCTGTCTGTCATCTGCCTCTGTCTCCTGTTCAGTGGAGGAGTTGGCAGCACGTGCAGAGGAGGCGAGGCGGATGGGGGGCATACCTGGGAGAAAGAAAACTGGCAGAGGAGAAAATAAGGTAAGAAGAAAGAGAAGAAAAAGGAGGGGAAAAAAAAAAAACCCTGTATCCTCTCCCGTTCCTGTTTCCCATGCCTCCCCTGTGTATGCGCGGTAATCAAAAACATTTAGATGTTTTACGTGCGGTGTACAGTAGGCTCTCTAACTGAACATGTGTTTAACAGAACAGCCCTAAGCTCTCGGTGCGTGCACGTTGTTTCTGAAACTCTATAAAGAAAAGGACTCTCCCTTTTTACATATATGTATATATATTTTGGGGAGGTGGGGTGGGGGTGGGGGGGTCAAACGTGATACGATTCTGCGCAAGTCGGCGTAAATCTGTTTTTATTTGTATTGTTTCATGACTAATGTAGCGGCAGCATTGAACTGCAGTGAGAAAACAGATGTGAGGACACAGGAGTTCAGAGTTCAGAGGCGAGTCCCCTGGTTGACCCCTTGTGTTACCAGAGCTGCGGTGATGACATCAGCAGGCATGTATCACCCCGTATAGAGTGTGTGTGCGTGCGTGCGTGTGTGTGTGTGTGTGTGTGTGTGTGTGTGTGTGTGTGTGTTTGTGCACGCATAGCTGTGGTTGTGGCTTTGGCTTCAACACGACCTCAGTGCAACCGTCTCCCTCTTAGGGAGTTTCTTGGTTAAGTCCGGCCAAGCATGGAACATTTTCATCGTCAACCGACAATTTAAAAGTCAGTATGGAGACTTTTTGGAGGCTACGTCCTGAATTCTTACACTTTATTAGATTTAAAGCAATATTAGGTAGTGGATGGTAAAACATTCGCTCTGTCTGGATATTAGATCCATTTGCAGAATCACGCTGTTTACTATTAACCCGGTATTATCTAATAACTGCAAAGACATGAAAGGTTTTTAAGCAACAACACCATGTTAATGGCTTCCATCTGTGCTGTGGGAAATCCCCTTCGTTCTCTACAGGATGCCTCCTCTCTTTCTATCCTTTCTTCCAACCGCTCTGTTCATGCTCTGATTTCTTTTTTTTTTTTTTTTTTTTTTTTTTAGTTTTTTTTTTTAGTTTTTCTGTAGACCAATCTTTTATGATAATTTTGTTTATTTGTTTTTGATTTGGTGGTTGTAAGAAACTGCTTTATGTAATCACTTTCAATGTTACTGCGAAAACACTTTGCTTGTCAGTTTAGTGTGTGGTCTCATTTCTTGTTTGGGAAAATACTTACATATGTTATGTTTTATGTTCATTACTATTTCATCTATTATTCTTATGCAGGAATATTTAACATTTTTCTACGTATCTTAAGATTTTTTTTTTTTTTTTTATGTAGCAAATGTTACAAATGATTAAAAAAAAGTCCTACTTACTCTTCTATACTTTCATGAAGAGTGCATATTTCATGATTGTTTTTTGATTTCGGAAATAATAGAAGTCAGTTCTGCTGCTTACCATGTAATTTATACATTCCTAACATCGGACAACAGGTGGGTCAAAAATTGTGGAACACAGATTTTTAAACTTGGACAGTAAAATAAGCACAACAACTGAAACATATTTTGAAAAGTAGAAACAACTGTGGAGAACCAGTACAATCTAATTAAAGAAATGTTTTTTTTTATATTTACTGGACAGAAATGTTCACAATGCTTTTTTTCTTTTTTTTTTACAATTTTACACTGCTTTAGAGAACTTAATATGTAAACAGTGTTTTATTTTTTAAGTATCTTTTTTTGTTATTGTAATTATCTAATGTTATGATAAATTACCGATATCTTTTTTTGTTTGTTTGTTTTATGTCACTGTTAAATACATTTCAACTCCTAGCCATGTGCATAAACCTTTTCCTGTAAAAGGCCCAAGTATTTTTTAGTGCCCATAAGGTTGTGATTTCACAATTTTATGTTGGTTTTTGAGGTACAGTGTAGGTCAAAGGTGTGGGTGGTTTGTTTGGGTTCTGTGTGTGAGTCTGCGCGCGCGCGCGGGTGTGTGTGTGTGTGTGTGTGTGTGTGCATGAGCGAGCAGAGGACTGGTAGGGTGTGTGTAGGCTCAAGAGTGGCCAAAGCCAGGCTGTGCAGGGAGGTTTGTGGAAATGGTAATCATTTGTTGTATCGATTCCGCTGTAGCCAGGGCAGCCGGCACACGCAAACTCGCTCGCACACACGCGTGCGCTTGCTCATAGACACCAACTGACTTGCACGCACGCAGACGCACAGCTCCGTGGTAGAAATAGACCCCTCCATATTGATCCCCTTCACATTCCCTTAGCTGTGCTGCCACACATGCGCACAATCGCACACAGATATACTAACACATTCATGAACCTGCTTGAACACTTAATAGCCACGTGACGACAACAAAAGTAAAATGTGCTTTTTTTTTTTATTCGTGATACATTTTTAGCTTCATAAGTAGGTTAATGTTAGATTCTGGGCTAATTTGAAAGATGCATGTTTGAATATTTACGTTTCAACAGGTGAGCTTTGTTTCTGAGTAATAATAACCTTGTCCTGCCGTTTGTTTATGTAGGTCAGTGCCTGAAAGGCTGCAGGAGGTGACGGAGCTCAGGGAGAGACTTCTGTTGATCGGAGTGTAAAGGCAGAAAGAGAGAAAAAAAACAAAAACAAGATGCAGTGGAGCAGGTAAATAATTGTTTGGGGTTTGTTTAAAACAGCTTATGTTGTGAAATGTAAAAATGCACCTTCATTAAGAAGCCTTATGAACACAGAAAGCTTTTACCGCTTACACCGCTTCATGTATTTAAATATGATTATCGAAACACTCTGTCAGCGAGAGTATTGATTTTTTTTTTTTTTTGTACTGTCGCTCCTGACACAACCCACTCGGGGTCAAAAATCTGAGCCCGGTTTACTGTACTACAGCCTAAACAGGAATGCTAAAAGGCATTCTGTCCTCTCCTTTCATTTCCTCCAAGGTCTTCTTCACTTTTCCTTCCCTCCCCTCGCTTACCTTTCAGATGATTAGTGTCATATATCCAGCGCTAGAGCCTGGATTATCTTGTCTGAGGGAAGGAGGGGTCTGTGCAGGACCTAAATCTATAGCAAGGTGATTTGGAGCGTTAATTCTTGGGTGTAATATTCCCTGATACTCCCTAATGTTCCGGCTGGGAGCTGAGGGAATCTCAGGGGAGAGCAGTTGTCAGAGCTCAGCCACAGCTGTACAAGGGCAAAATGGATAATTAAAAGGAAAGGCAGGACAAGGAAGCGATGTCCAAAACAATGTTTAATTCTCCTAAGCTTCATCTGCCTGTGTTTTTCTATTGAGTTTGAATTTTAATTTGTTTATTTTCATATTCAGGAAATACTGTTTTGCTTCCAATTCTTATTTGTTGCTCCCCCCCCCCCCCCCTCTCCCCCCCCTCTTCTTTTTTTTTCATCTTTTCTTTTTTTTTTCTCAAAACTCAAAACAGGTGCGATGTTGCTGCACTGGTCACATAAAAGATCTTGGGTTTGAACGTGCCTGTCAACTGGTATGGACTCCCTTTGCTTTGTGGCCTTCCTTTACTGCATCTGTAACAGACATGTGGGCGCAAATACACCAATAACCAAACGTTCTGTCTTTGAACTTGAGCTTTTCTCTTTTGTCTCATATCAGTACAAAGGCGGATAAAATGGGCCTCCTGCTAGCAGCTCAGAAGTTTACTAATTACAACAAAACGGTCCAGATTTGCTTCATTTATCTTGCCAAAGTGTACTTTGGGTGCAGAGTGTTAGGTTACAGTATAAAGGGCATAGTCAGCTTTGTCAGCAACAAAGCAGGCCAGTATGTATTCATGGAACGTTTTGTTTTCAGAATGCAGAATGTGGCAAAGGGAGGATCCAAATGAGGCACTTTGTGGTACACTCGGGCTTGTGCAGGCGGGACCTTGCCCATTCCTCTATTGTTTATTTTCACAAAAATCCTCCCCCAACCCCCGCTCCTAAAAAAAAAAAAAATAAATATATATATATATATATATATATATATATATATATATATATATTCCTTTGTGAAGAAGGAATAAATTTGTGCAATACACAAGGAAACAAGAATATCTGTGAGAGATGAAATTATGTACATTTATTTGAAATAAGAAAAGAATACTTGCTCTTGACTGTCAGCCCCCAATGTCTAATATGTACTAAATAGATTTTCATACAACATAGAATCGATTAATAAACTGAGAAAATATGTTTTGCAAATCGGTTGGCATAATCAGTCTAATTACATCTGTGGAGACTGATGTTGTTCTGTTTTAACTGTCATCATAAGCTGCTTTTTTTAATAGGGCAAAATTCCCAGTAAATATCCAATAACTTGCATCTGTTCCTGCTTTAGATGACTTTAAGTAAGAAAATCAGAAAGTTTTTTTGAAATGTGGGACATTGTGGCAATTGTGGTCACTTTCAATACACTTACAAAAGTCCCCAAATGGGAGGTCATGTTCTGAATCCAAATGTAAGGGAGGTCAAATCTGGATCCAGACCAATTGTGAGTACATGTGCTTTCTTCTATAAATCTTTTTTTTTTACAGTTTTACCATGTTTACTGCAGTACATTTTAACATGTGCAGCTTTTCCAGGCATTACGCTCCTTGTCGTATCACTGCGAGAGGCAGCAGCAGCCAGTCTTTCTGCAGAGAGAAGTCAGTTAGAGGAGAGGTTAACGCATCCAAATACTGAATGTTTAACATGGAAACTCAGCATGAGTGTCTCTGAGAACCGACAAAGGAAACAAATGAATGTTGTCAGTTTCACTGGAGTGACTTAATTTTGTGGGATATGAGTGAAGGACAGAATATTTAAGGGAACAAATCAACTTCTAAAATTAGAGCGGAACCATTTTAATGTCAAAGAACCAAGTTTGACTGATCCTTCGGTCATTTGAGGCGGGCCAGCATTATTTTGAGTCAATACGAAAATTAATCCGCTCAGCAGGTCTTACAGAGTTCATGACTGCAATCTCTTGCTTTAGTTGGTGGTTCTTTTTCCATCAAGAAAAACAGAAGAAATTAACATTCTATATTCAGATGAATATTTTAC